ATTTTTTTTCATGTTTCTTTATTCAATTATTTCCGATGATCTGCAAGTGTCCTTATATTTATGACCAGGAAGTGTATCTCTCAAATGGATAAATGAAATGGAATGGTGTGATCTGTTTACCTTCCCTTTTTTCTAATCTTGCTAATTTATTTTTCAATTTAGTGATTTCTTTGTCCAACTCTAATGTGTTTTCCTGTGTATCAATATCAAAACAGTCAGTTTTACCATTCACAGAGAATACAATTCACCTATTACCTATTACTTACTTTATTATCATCATTTGTTTGTGATGGTCTAATAAATAAATAAATACAAAGTCAAAATTTTAGTATAAAAACTAGAGTGGAGACAAGCGGCAATAACCACTGTCATTCTCTTTAACAAATAACTCTTTTGCATTTTCAATGTATTTTTCTTTGGTTCTTTTGGTTTTGGATTTTTTGTCCTTTGGCTTTTTTTTTTTTTTGAAAAAAAATTTGATTTGTTATTTGATCGACAAACGCTAACACACTAATTATTTATGTATGGAACATGTTCAAAATTGTATCACGTGACCTTTAATGGTGATACAAATTAAAAAAATTCCATTTAAGGGTAGAGTTCGGTTACACATAATAACATATGGCAAAAATTTAAATTTGGTGTAAAAAATGGTTTGTACATATAAAAGTTCATGTGACTTCACCTAACATGTACAAAAATTTTCCAACATATTTTTGAGGATGCGAGCTATCAAAACAATATAATTTTAGACCCAGTTTAATTAATAAGTTAAGTAAAATAAATAGTTTGAGTTGCCAATCCTATAAGTAAAGTTACCAATCCTTAACATGCACTATATGTTTTTGTTAAATTAAGAAAAACTAAATGAATGGCCTTTTAGTTTACTTTGGTTACTACAGATTAATAAAATTACACTTCAAGTTTTTACTAATGTATATGTTTTTTATATATGTATGTATGTATATATAGTAATAAATAGAAACAAGACTACCTTGGTATGTATCATTACTAGCTTTTAACATCAACTACAAACTCTTTACACAAGCAAACAATTTAGTAAGAAACATTTTTTTGGAATGGTTAGATATTCAAGTAATTATTCGTGCAGGCTTCCATTATATCTTATATATTTGCAATGTATTATTAATTTTTTAATTCACAATTTATCCAACAATAAAGTTAGATTGGTAATTTATGGTTGAAGGTTAAGGATCTCACCCACTCACTTGTGGCACTTATTCATTAATTCATTCGCTTAAGCTCAAGATCCTGTAAAAGCTTGGACATATCAAATATTTATGTGGCTTATGTGATTTGTAAAACGTAAAAATAAGAGAAGTATTACTTTATTATTGATTTGTCAACTGTATATAAAAGCATTATCAATTGTTCCTGAAATAGTAAAATTAGATCATGGAAAAAGTAATAAATTAGTAAAATATCATTAAACTTGGACAACCACAATGCTTGGCTGTTTCTGCTAAAGGGTATAAATATAAATAATTATCAACAGGTCAATGTAATATATCTATAGTGCACATCACTTAGTCGCTGAACTTTTTGTGCTATAATGCCATTTTTGAGAAAAAAATTTCCAATCAAAAATGCAATAAAATTTTCGCAGTCACATGTTTTTGAAGATCGTCAGTGCAGAATTTTATTAAATTTATTAATTAAAAATACTTGAAATTAAAAATGAATGAAAATAACAATAATGAGAATATTATGCATAAAGAAAATAATTTTGAATCTATCCAATAAAATATGATAGAGTTGTTACGCAATCATCAATTGCTTCTTTTCATCATCATTTATCTTTGATTTCAGTTGGCAATTCAAATAATGAATCACTACTTTTAAAACTATTATCAAACAACTCTATATCGTCATTGACATCATCAGAACTTTTGTCAAAATCATCTAATTCTCTATATATATATAATTTAAATTTCATAATATGAGAGAGAGAGAGAGAGAGAGAGGTAGGTAGGTAGGTAGGTAGGTCGGTTGGTCACGGTTTCAATTCCCATTGGAAAAATTTTCAAAATTCGAAACAATTCCTCTTTATCTATCCAATTCATTCTCTTTGTATATATTTGTTGTTGTAAATATTAACATAATGTTGTTTTTTTGAAAAAATATTAACGTTAATAATTTATTATTAACCAAAAATGGGAATGATAATCTTATTATGTACTTGCGTTTGAAATTTATTGATCGTATGTAATAACTTCACTATGGCGATGGCCCACATTCTTCCAACAATCAAGGTATTGCAAACTGTTATTGACCTTCTTTTATGTACCATCTAAAATTATAATTATCCCTTAAACGTACAAGATTTGCATGCTAATCGGCACGCAATTTTTGAAAAAATGTAGACCCCTACTAGACAA